ATACAGTAGAACTCCAATTATCCGAATTAATGGGGACCGGGACCCATTCACTGACTAATCAAAACAAACAATGACAGGTGACTGCAATGCGCCGGAACTGGAGTGGGAACTCTTACCACGTGTTGTGCCTACACTGACGCCGCGGACTTTGGACAAATTTTTTTCTGATTTTTTCTGAAAGTGATTCGGATAATCGGCGATTCGGATGGTCGGAGTTCGGATAATTGGAGTTCTACTGTATATCAAATCTCCAAAATTACCATTGGAGTTCACAATTACAGTAGAGTCTCGCTAATCCGGTCATCGCTTATCCGAACATACGGAAAATTTATATTTCGTACTATATTACTCTTTTATAATGTATCTATATATACACATTAATATTATTTATATCAATGTTGATTGTATAGCATAATTATAGTTACATACAGGGTGTTCAGTAAGTCAGGAAACGGGTTTCTATTGTTCTCATTGTTACAAACAATGAGAACAATAGAAACCTGTTTCCTGACTTACTGAACACCCTGTATATGTAGGTACCTCTAAGAAATATTCGGTAATACCCATAATTAAGATATGATAGTTTCGATTATATATTGTGATATTGTTTCGTTTAGTGGTGATTGTGTACTCGTGTCGACCGTTAAGAAAACCAAACAACGACGCTTTAGACGAGGCTTTGTACATTTGGTTTTGTCAACAACGTGAACAGGGTCTTCCGTTGTCGGGTGTAACGTTACAAGCTATCGCGATAAAATTTAATGAAAAATTCAAAGGAGATCCTACATTTACTGCTAGTGTACAATGGTTGTCACGGTGGAAAAATTTACATGGCATTCGTGAACTTGGTAAAAGTGGTGAAATTTGATCAAGTGATAATGTTGCAAATAAAGACTTCAAAAAAAAATTTTAAAAGTTTGTTAGCGATCAAAACCTAAGGCCATGTCAATTATTTAATGCTGACGAAACTGGGTTAAACTACAAAATGCTCCCCAAAAAAAACATTAGCCTCAAAATTTGATTCTGTAGTCAAAGGACAAAGGGTGAAAAAAGAACGAATAACTTTACTTCCTTGCAGTAACGCTTCTGGTGATTTAAAATTTCCACTTTTGGAGAATCAGTTAAGCCTAGAGATTTCAAAAACGTTAATATGAGTGCACTTCCAGCTCAATAAACTTCACAAAAATCTGCTTGGATGAGCGGAAACATTTTTAAAATTTGTTTTTTTGAGAAATTTGTGCCAACAATAAGGGAATTTTTGAAACAGAAAAATCTTCCAGAAAAAGCTGTATTCCTTGTAGACAACGCTCCGTGTCACCCTAGTGAAAATGAATTACGAGATGGTGAAATTTTCGTGATATTTTTGCCACCTAACGTGACGACATTGATACAACCAATGGTTCACGGTGTGGCTAGAGTCCGGTCCCATCTAATCCGGATTAGCGAGACTACAGTGTAAAATTTTCTCTATTTATTTTTTTGACTGTAGAAGACCGATGTGTACATTTTTCTTAAAATTTTTCTCTCTAATACCCTTAGTCTCTGTTTTCAGCTTTATTCAATGCCCACGTTTCAGAACCGCACAGAACAATAGTTCGTAATAATGTCATATACATTTTTGTTTTTAATTTTTAAGAGATCCTAGATTTTAGTACTTTTTCTAATCTGAAGTGTCCCTTATTAGCTAGTTGTATTTTCGACGACACCTCTGTCTTAAGTTCATTATCTTGAGTAATATCAATCCTAAATATTTAAATTGTTATTTAAATATCAATCAGCACACGCATTAGGTGATTTCACCTGGAATGACCCATATACAAAAAATGAAATAGGAGTTCTCGTTGCTTTTGAAACAATTTAATAATTATTTTAAAAATTACATTGCATTAAAACGATTTAGCTTCGATTTAAAGCTGAGAAGGTATTAATTATACTATGATGTGTTTATTTTTTTGTTTCTGTTACCACTTATTCTCAGCTCTCACTGGACCGATTTTGATGAACAATATGTCTAAAGATCACAAATCGTATCTAGTTGAAGATATAACTCTCAAAAATTTAAAAAAGTTTCCTCGTTCCTCATAAATAGGGATTTAAAATTTTTGAATAGTATTGCATCAAGCCCTATAAATTTTTATACACGTTTGCCATAGTAGTAATAAAATATACGACTTTTTTGTAATTTCTTCATAAAAATTACAATATTAAGTTATTGAATATCAATTTTGTACTAAATTTAATTACTATAATTGGTATTTATTCATATATTTTACTTAAAATCAAATAACTATTAATCAGGATATTATTAGGGAAATAGAAATTCAATTTACTTTTGGAATAATTCACAAATCTGTTAAAATTAAACCCTATCTAGATATTTGCATTGAAGCGTTTTTTATGATAGTAATTTTAATAGTAAATCGTAAAAAATAATAAGAACTAAGAAAATATTAATGAATTGTAATTGAGTAAAATAATTCTGTTACAATTTTGAGTGATTCATGACAAATTTATTTTAACTAAATACGAAGTTCTGATAACTAATATAAATATAATTTAAACACAACTTCATACATTTTATAATAAAATAACAAAGTAAAAGTTCCATAAAATTTATTTATTTAAAATAAAATACTAATAATACAAAACTTTTGCTAAATACTCATAAATATATTATTGAAACCTAACCAATCATATACACTTATAGTAGTAACATCAAAAAACGCCATAAATTGATCTAAAGCGCATTCATACAAACGTAATGGACTTTTGTGAGTGTTGTTTTTATTAGTTGACGAAACTATAGTCATCCATGATTTTATTAATTGACTGTTTTCTAAATTTTCACTTTCAATCGAGCAACTATAACTGGTAAATTTACATCCATAAATAATACCCCGATTAAATTTATTTCGTGCTCTCTGAAAATCTAATAAAAATTTATTGACTTTTGAATATTCTTCGTCGATAGATAGATTAATAAAATCATTTTTCGTTATATTAAGCTGTTCAATTTTTGGAAAATAATTTTTTAATAAATTATAGGTATGTGTTAAACATGAAGGTGAATTATTATAAGTCACTTCCCAAATTGATGAATCTTTTAATTTATCTAAAGCTAACAACATTTGATTAAACATTTTTTTTGAATCTTTAACCATTTTAAAAAATTGAATACAACAATCTTTATAGCCATTTAAATTTTTATCACGTCTTTCAAGTTTGCATGTTTCAATTACAGCAGACATATATGTGTTATAATTTTTCAATACTGCAGTATATTTGCACCTCATCAGATGTAAAAAGTATTGCTTTTTTAGATTGAAATTAAAATCATTTACAGTATCTTTAATAATTTGATTAGTAGTGATTATTTCACCATTAACGATTATTTTTACATGATTCAATATCTTCCAATCTCCTTCACAGAATAATGTATTTAGTATTTCAATTGCTCTATGTTGAGGAGTATGGTAGTTCTGAGGTGGATTAAGCCTAAAATAAGACAATTATTATTAATTATTATTATTATGAAGTCTCTAAAAAATATTACCAAAAAATCATTATTGTAATAAATTTTATTTTATATATTATGCACAAAGTAAAATATGTTTTTTTAATTTAAATTACAATTGAATTTTTAAATTTTTTTGAATTTATTCTAAATTATTCTAAAAAAGTTATATTAAAAAATTAAACTAACTTAGCTGTTTTAGGGTTAAGTAACTGATCAAATCCAATTTTTAAATAATAGTTTTTAATGGTTTCTGTACAGTAATAATTTAACTTTTCTCTAATAAAATCGGCAAAATTCATTTCATAATTATTATTTATATATTCGCCATAGTACTTTTCTCGTAAATTAAATTTCATTTTACTATTTTCAATAGTAAGATTGTTTTTATCAATTTCATCTGTTATTGAAACTATTTTACTAACGNTAATAGTAAGATTGTTTTTATCAATTTCATCTGTTATTGAAACTATTTTACTAACGAAATTATTTATTTCAATAACGTCCTTCAAAACTTCTTTTATTTTAATGTTTCCATCATAATTCATATAATTAACTAATTCTGATTTTTTCATTAAAAACGTATAATATTTAATAGTATAAATTTCTTTTACTATCGTTTTTGGATGAATTGAATTACTTAACATTAATATTACACCCAAGTTATCAATAAATGCAATAGCTTTGTATAAATATTCGAACATAAAATTTGAATTTTTAGTTGCATGTGAAAGTGTTACTGTACAACTAATTAAATTTTTAAATAAATTTTTTCTAAAAAAACATTCACAATCGTATAAAATAATTTTTAAGTGTTCAGTTAATATTTGTAGTACTTCAGCAAATAAGTGATTGAATAAATCAACTATAATATAATATTTTTTTAATAATTCAATAATATTTTCTGATTTATATTTTAGAACATCTTCTATGTTTATAATTTTATCATTTTCAATCCTTACTGATAAGTGTTCCAGGTTCATCTGTGTTATTTGAGTACTTATGTAATTCATAACATTTACGAAATATGATTCATAATTCATTGGATTTTTATCACAATTAACAAGTACAACTTCAAAAAAAAAAGTTTTAGTAAAAAATACCAAGGTTAACAATTCAATTTTCATGTTCAAAATTACTAGTATTTGATATGTAAAAACGTTTAAATTGGTAATAGCCAATATTTTTTAACGTTTTAATTATATTTATAATAAATAATATATATGAAATAAGTGTCTGTAATTTTTTTTTACTAGTTTTATTAACTAACAATTGTGTAATTATTGATATAATAATAATAATATAAATAAAAATTACATACGAGTGATTCATCATGGAAAAATATTCTATGAAAATTCTAAACGTTATTTTCTTAAATGGGAATTGTATTGTAGTTATTATATCCTTTTAATTTTTATTGTTATAGCTTGTTTGAAAACTATCATAATAATAATAATTTATGATAGTATATTATTAGTATGGTAATAGTTATATACTAGTTTTAGTTTTAGTTATTATTGAGGTGGACATAATGCCCATGCACTCAGACCTGTTGGTCCATTGTGCGCACCTCATACCGAATTGTTTTGATTCGGTTTACCCACCTAAGTGTTATCACCAAAGTGTTAATACATTACCAACCATAAAGTCACCTCTAAAGATGACCAAAGAGTCCTGTCTTTCTGGCGAAATTAAGTATCTCTCTGGGTTTTAGGTTTTTAATATCCTCTTTTTCAGGAAATGGTTTATTCAAGTAGTTTGATCTTAGTGTGGACAAGGCTTCACATTCGCACATGATGTGAAATGAGTCTTCCTCTTCTACTCCACACTTCCTACACAATGGCGATTCCGATACCCCCATTGCGTTAAGATGCTTAAGCAGGTGACCATGTCCTGTCAGTAGACCAGTCAGGGTGCTTATTTGATGTCTAGTCATGCTATTAAGATCACCCAGCAATAAACCAGGGGTCTTGATAAACATTTTAGATTGTCTAGGTACTACCAAGTACTTCCAGATTTTCCTGTGTTGTTCTCTGCACCAATTCTTGGGTAACGCTTTGAGCGATTGCTCAGTGAGCCCTACCACTGGTTCTGGTCCAACATAGGTGTTCTCTGCTCCTTTCCTGGCTAGAAAGTCAGCATTCTCATTTCCAGTGACACCGTTGTGTCCTGGTACCCACGCTAGTGTAACTTTGTTGAACCTCGATAGTGATTCTAAAGTTTCCCTGCATTCGAGGACCAGCTTTGAATTCACCTGATCGTTACAGAGTGCTTTCAAAGCCGCTTGACTATCACTTAAGATAGTTATCTTCCTATTTTTGTATACCAGCAGGTTCTGAGCCCCTACCAGTATCGCCATCACCTCTGCTTGGAAAACAGAGGGTGTTGTGCCCAATGACATACTGACATTTATTCGTGGCTTTAAGCCCCAAATTCCAGCACCTACCTTTCCTGATTTTTTGGATCCATCTGTATATATCACAAATCCTCCTTTGTCAGTCAGGTGGTTAATATTCCATTCTATACGTGTAGTGATCTCCACTTTGTAGGGAATGTTATTCTTAAGAACCGGTTTGATATAGTCCAAGGGGTATTCTAAAAAGCCCTTGTCTATCTCTTTTAGTATTTTACCATGTTCTGTTGTATCACTCTCCAAAGTCCACATACCTAAGTTGTGGAATCTTAGTGCTGTGGCTTTGGCGTGAGCTTTCACCTCTAGATGCAGAGGAGGCAATCCAATTAGTGCCTCTAATGCGACCGTTGGTGTAGTTCTTAATGCTCCAGTGATGGCAATGGCAGCCATTCTCTGTATGCGACTAAGTTCTTTCCTAGCTGTAATGAGTGCTGTTCTGGTCCACCAGACCAGGGCACCGTACAATATCATAGGTTTAATCACTGACGTGTACAACCAATACATAACTCTTGGTTTAAGACCCCATATCTTTCCCAAGGCTTAGTTATATACTAAAAACGTATCATAGAAAAAAAAACCCATATTTTAAGGTATTGATTATATTTATAATAATCATATATATAAATTAGGTGTGAGTATTTTGTTGTATAATAGTATTGTTAACACTTGTTTAATTATTAACATAGTGATAAAGTTTAAAATCAAAAATATTTAAAGATTATTACTTAAAGTTTTTACATTTATCAAATCATAGGATTTTATAATGTCCTTTAATTACTACAGAACCTAAAGAAGTGTAAATGAAAAGTTTTTCCGTAAAAATAACTAATAATTTTACTGATGTGTTTTTTTTTATTTTTTTTTTTTGTCTGTATACGCTCAATCTCAGCTCTCGCTGACCGATTTTGATGAACAATACGGCAAAGATCACAAATTGTATCTAGTCGAAGGCATTATCCTCAAAATTTGAAAAAACCCCCTCGTTCCCCGTAAACGGGGAAAATCCCACAAAAAATTACAAATTAAAAAATCTCTAATTTTCGACATTTTTAAAATTTTTTTTACTTAAAATTGCCATAAATTTTTTAAAAATAACCGAATTAATATAATTTTTTTTTATAGATACCTTAGGTATTTACCTATCATTTTATATATTTTTGTGAACATTTGACCCTTTACCAGCCCACAGGAAGGGTTTCAAAATACTTACTTTTTTAACTTAACTTTTGAAAATGTTCCGAAAAGACTGACACTTTTATATATACCTTAAATTAAAGCTAATTTAATATGAAAAAAAAAAAAAAAAAAAAAATTGACCTCTAAACTTGTTTTCGTGGTGAAAACGGACATCAAAGTTAAAGAAAAACGTACGATTTCCATGAAAAATTTCTCGATTTTATATTTTATATTATTAAATTTATATTACTAGAACTTTTGTTTTTTAATAAATAATTTTTATATACCCCTTTCATCTGACATACTTTTTTTGTAAATCGGATCATACCCCTTTATACAAGTGGGGGTCAAAACTTTAAACATGCGTATTGAAACTAGGATATTTTCAATTTAATTTTTAAAGTGTTCCAGAAATACTGACATTTTTATATGTATCTTAAATTAAAGCTAATGTAATATACTTTAATTTGAAAAAAAAATTGACCTTTGAATTTGTCTTCATGGTGAAAATGACTACCATATTGAAAAATATGCTATTTTTGTGTGTAAAATTCTGGGTTTTGTATTTTATTTTATTTTAAAATACATGACAAGGGGAGTACACTGATTTGGATAAATATTATATAAATAATATTGATATAGCATTGAAAGTTAAAGTTGTTTAAATTTGTTTGCTTTTTTTAAGTCGAGAAAAATAACTTTGAAATTTGAACTAGCTTAAATAGTCAATTTTTTCAGCCGACGGTACCAACGTACGGTTGCCAAGTCAATAAAACTTGTGTTTGACGCACTTATAAGGTTCAAACCCCCGCATTTGGCAAGGAAATTTTTTGCATTTTTTTCTTAATTCTTTTTAAAATAAGTTAGAATAAATTTTCAACTTGTTTGATTTTTATCTCATTTCGATTCAAAAACTTCAATAAAGATCAAGGATCCCATCATTGTACTCACCCCTTGCGAGAAGAAATTTCTTATTCATATTAAAATTATTTTACTATATTTTAGGTTTTGGCTTCGATGCAAATCTAAGAAGGTATTTTTTTGTGACTATTCTTTATTTTCTCTGCTCTAATTTCACCTACATTTTTCAACGATACGTCAAATGATTACAATTAGTTGAAGATACTACCCTCAAAAATTGAAAAAAATTCTAATTTATCAATTAAACAGTTACTTATCCTATGTTCTCCATGCAGACAATTAAAATCATTCGTTTCTAATGTTTTCAAAGTATTTATTGGCGAATCAAGTTTGATATGATAGGTTTCAACTACAAAATTAAATCATTTTACTTTGTAATTTAATAATTTTTTTACTGTATTTTGAGTGTGCTACTACTAGACTATAATATTCCAAATTTTTTGATAACATGTTGCTATATAAATCATTTCTAAAAAAAATGATTATTAGTTTCTTCTAAATTAACAATGGATTTTTACAATTATAATTAAATTTTATAATACGCTCAATTGAGTAAATCTTTTTAACGACTTTATTTTAATTGGTTCATTTACTTAAAGCAAATCATTAAAATTAATTAAGTTCTGAATATTTCAATTGCAAAATCTTTTCAAACACCAAAAGTTACTAGGAAATTATTACTATTACTTCTATTTAAGTTATCTATTACGATAAAAATGCAAAAAAATATTGAGCTTTTCTGATAAATTTACAATAAATAGTAATTATAAAACTTTCTGACTGCATATTAATCTTAACGATACAATTTTTTTAATTCTCATAAAATTTTCTATTTAATGATGTCAATTTCAAACTTACCAATTGAGCTAAAAGTTATGGTAAAAAAAATTTTTTTTTTTTATTATAATCATTTACAAAAATCAACTTTTAACGATTAAAAAAATAGGTTAAATATGTCATTTTCCTTATTTTTGACATATTAATAATAAAAATTAGTATTAATTTAAAACAATTTTTTTTTGTTTTTAATTATTTTTTTTATGTGTAAATACTTATTTTTTAATAATAAGTAATAATTTAAAAACTTAGAAGTGATAGAAAAAGTCTAATTGCACATTTGAAAACATCGCGAAAAGTTGATTTAGAAAAGTATATTTTTGTTTTTGATGAAAGTTCCACTGTCACATATCATATATAGTTGTCCCAACTATGCTACGTCCATACTGTACCGCAACCCCACTGTGGTACCTTTTTTTTTATTTTTTTTTTGTCTGTTACCACTTTATCTCAGCTCTCACTGGACCAATTTTAATGAAAATATGTCAAAAGATCACTCATCAAGTTAAATTTTCGTCTTTTTGTAGCTAGTAGAATATGAATTAATAAAAATCAACGATTCACAAATATCATACTCAATAATAATTATCCAATTATTGGATAAGGCAAATTTTAACACGCATGTAAAATCCACAAATGTCCATAAATCGCTAAATTAATCGTAAAAAAATAAACAAAGACGAGTCCTCGCATCAACTCAACCACATATATTATAAAAAACAAAAAATATTGTATTAATGCATGCATTTTTCAATAAGTATAGCCATTTTAAAGTTAAAAAAATATAAAATATGAAAAAAAAATTTAAATA